CTGCCACTATTTAAATAACTATGTTTATTCCTGATTTTAAGTATTTGTTGAATAATATTACCAGTAAATCAATTGATATAATTTATATCATAGCTTAAATATGTTTTATTGTCTTCTCTACAGAGTAGTTGATGTTCTATAAAGGAACATTCCATAATACAGGTTCACAGTTTCTTATTCCAAATTCCCAAATCCAGAAAGCTCCGAAGATAGTTTTTCCATAACTCATTTGGCTATAAATGTGACCTTTCTTGAAGTCATTTGGCAGCAAAATCTGACTTGAACTGGTGTGAGGTTATTTATAGCCATTATTTATCCACTTAGTATGAATAATCATACATTTCATGGTAGAGATAATAATGTTAGATTATGAGACGCTGTCGTTGGCCCTGCTTAGATGTTACGTAATATCTATCATACACACCATATCACCTTCCTAAAACCCCCAAAATTCTGAATTCCCAAACACATCTGGCCCCACAGGGCCTCAGATAAGAGCTTGTGGACCTATCTTGTGTATTCTGTCTCAAAAGATATGTATATATATATGTAATATTAATTTTGACATTTTGAACATATGGGTTTTGTGAGTTTGTGTGGTCACTCTTAAAAAGGAACAAAAAATGCTTTCCTCACATTTCCAAACTGCTAAACTAGACTGATACACAGCAAGTTATTTCTGATTTCTGATAAAGGACATTACAAAGTACTTGTTTATTTTGTCTCTGCTCATTCTTCAAAGGTGCAGGCGAAGGAAACATTAGCCCGAGTAGCTGCCTGATTTGCAGGACCGTGTGTGTCTTGCCCCGTGCTCTGTGGGGCCCAGCCCCTCATAGGTAAATTAAATGAATGAACGTATGTAAATTGATTTGTAACACAGTAAAATGACAGTATATTATTACATTGGTTAGAAACAAAATGTCTAAGTATGCAATCATCTTTTACGCCACAAATTTCAAACTTTACAACTGTAATCTAAAATGTGTTTGGCTAGAAACAATTTCTCAGTACTTTTACAGAAACCATAACTTTTCTCCCCTATACACAATTCAGTTTTTATACAAATGCCCAGAGTTCCAGCCCAGAATGACCTAAGAGTGTGGCATTTTCAGAGGTATAGTTAGCTAAGATGTTTCTGTAATAGGGATCAGGAAAATGAGTTCAAATTCATCTGATATGCAAATCAGAGAAAGAAAGATTTCAATGCTGGGTAGACATATATGTAATGTGTTTAAGGAAAAGAACCATATCGATAAAGGAAATAGAAATAATGCTATTTCCATTAGTAAGATTAACAGAACCAAATACCTGGGTTCCCATAATGTAGAAACTGAACCAGTAGGTTTTGTTTTTGTTTTTTTGTGGGAAATGTGCTTCAATCTCAGGAAGCAGCAAAATAACCTCCTCACCCCCAGCTCGCCACTCACTCAAATAATGGATAAAAGCAGAGGAATGCGGTCCTTATAAAGAGACAGCCAGGTCAGCAAGACTCGGCTGTGCCCTGCTTAGGTGTCTTAACTTCTATAAAGAAAGACTCTATCTGCTGGGGAATGGGGCAGGAAGGGGAGAGGCCGGCGGTGGTTGACGATAGAAAAGGGAGTGACAGAGTCGAGTGTCGGCAGTGCCCATCCAAGCCCTATCTAGGGCAAGGTTGGTCTCAAAGCCAGTGGACTTCCAGTATTCCAGGGCACAGTAGAAATGGATGCTTTGATACATTTTTGTAACCAGCTTTCTTTGTTCTGACCCCATGCCCGCTCGGTACATTTCGATTATAATTGTCTTCCCTGGGTATACAGAGAGAATGTCTGATCATGCTCCAATGTGTGTAATAGGCCTTGTGACAGCTACCTTGTGAATTATTGAAGTGGCTTTCTGATTTTATATATCACTCTCAGGAGCTGATGCAGAGAAATGCATTCTTTCCAAATAGGTTTCTGAGTGTTGAAGGCCCGCAAAAGTCCTGAGGTCGTGCTCCCGGGAGGTGTCCTCATGTCAACATGAGGACCTGCACTGCTCCCACCTCCCCAGTCTGAAGCCTCAACCCTAAGTTTCTTGCAAACAATAATCCTGGTAAAGTAATAAAACTATAATGCTACTTAAAAAGAATTCCTCATTACGGAGAACATATATGCCTAAAAAAAGAATGCCAGGTAAAGTCCTAATGCTTTGTCAAAAGGCAAGAATCTATACAACTTCCCTCAAAATAGTTAAAGAGTCCATACAAACTCTATCTTTTGTGTTAAGATGGGAAGATAATGATTATAAATTTGTTTCATGTGGGAAAAACCTAAGTGGGAAATACAGACTTGGAGAGGGCTATGATGTTTGTTTGCTCCAAATACATTTTTGATGGATATATGGTCATTTCTTACAGTGTTAACATGCAGAAATAAATTTGAAAACAGAAATATGGACATTAGTAGAACGAAATCTGATTCTCTTAGCTATATTGACTGTGCAGGTCCAGGGAGAACACTGGAGCTCGAAACAGGGCTCTGTACAGTACAGTGAGAAAAATGGCTCTAGACTTTAGAATATAATAAGTGACAAATACATCAAGTATTTTGCACATTGACAACTGACCTAGAACCTAGAACATGTAGTTCTCATTTAGCTATTTTAGTGAAAGGCCTATTTTTAAAGAATAATGATGTACATTTTCATATAGCGTATACCACCTTTGTACTCATTGGATTTATATTGCTTTGGTACAGAATTCTAGCAGTCTATGTGCCATTTCTAGAAATAAACTCGTTCTTAGAAATATCTGGAAAACAACCCCATTGCTTCCTGTGACAGCAGCAGGGGCTGCCCCATTTAGGTTGCAATTTGAGGCTCAGCACCTTTCCTGGAGAAAAGGTTGCTTATGGCTGACAGTGAAAGTCTGGATTTACAGAAGAAATAGAGGGTTATATCACATCTTCTGGAAGTGAACAGCTCTAGATAGGCCTGTGACCACTATGTGCCTGGATTGTTGCAAAAGGCAGAGAACTTGTCTCTACTAGATTTCAGCTGATGAATATTCAGAGGATATACTATGTACACGGCGATGTGCTGGGCACTGATAAAAAGTCAAAGATAAAAAGGAAAGTCCTTTATCCTAAAGGAGCTTCTAGTCTGGTGAGGAATGAAAAGCAGTCTGGGGGCATGAATGAGAGACTTCATTTAGGAGGCAGGCACCTAGACTTGATCTCTGTTCACCAGCTCCCTTGAACAAACTATCTGAGCTCATCCCCTTACCTCTATAGGGGGCATGACCTTCGGGCATTTACCCCCCTGATGTACTCAGAAATCTGCTTGGTAAGGGTGCCTTTCTCTGGATCAGCTCCCGAAATTGATGTACAAAAATCAAAAAGGCAACTTAAGAATGAGCTCATATATAATACATGAGATTATATAAATCTTAGTTTTCCCATTTGTACAATGAGATTTTTGAATTTACTTACTTGGAATTACTTTGAAGATTAAGTGAGATGTTGACGTCTATCTATCATGCCTTCTGATGCCAGGTTAATCTTTCTAAAACACTGTTTTAAGCCTAACACTCTTGCTCATAAAGCTCCATGCTTTCAGGAAGAGTTCAATGCTTTTGCATAAACTTTCTGATCTGTTTCCAAACTACTTTTCTAATTTCATCTCCAATTGCTCCATCAACATAAACTAGTTGCAAGTGATTATTCATTGTCTGAACATCCATCTCAGCTACACATACCTCTAGGCTTTTGTTCACGTCATTTTCTTCCCCTTGTAACTTCCCATGGAGTTGCCTTTCATGCCATTTTATCTCCTTATCTAAGATCCACCGGGTTAGCAAGCCTCTAGATTAAGCCTCCCTACCACCCACTTCCTCCTTTCGCTAGTGAGTGCTTGAAATGTGGCTGGTCCCAACTGAGTGGGCTAGAAGCGTTAAGACACATAGTGTATTTCAAAGATTTAGTATTTTAAAAAGGGAAAAAAATGTGAAATATCTCATTAAAAATGTTTTACATCAATTACATATAGAAACACTATCTGGGCTGGGCATGGTGGCTCACGCCTGTAATCCTAGCACTCTGGGAGGCCGAGGCGGGAGAATCACTCCAGCTCAGGTGTTCGAGACCAGCCTGAGCAAGAGCGAGACCCTGTCTCTACTAAAAATAGAAAAATTAGCTGAGCATTGTGGCGCACACCTATAGTCCCAGCTATTCAAGAGGCTGAGGCAGAAGGATTGCTGAGCCCAGGAGTTTGAGGTTGCTGTGAGCTAGGCTGACACCACGGCACTCTACTCAGGGCAACAGAATGAGACTCTGTCTCCAAAAAAAAAAAAAAGAAAAAGAAAAAAAAACATTAAGGAAACATTATCTATTTTACTGTTTTTTTTCTTTTTAAAGAGGTTACTAGAAAAATGTAAAATTAAATATGTAGCTTGTATTGGATAGCGCTGGTCAGGAGCCCTACTTGTGGCCCATGTGCCTGGCTCTCAACCATATCTGCCTCATTCTTTGTCACCTCTCACATGTGGATGTCCAATCTCCACAACCGGCCTGTGATTGCCTTGGGGACAGGCTCAGAGTCCCAGGTGGGGTGTACCCCACACAACCACTCAGTACGTCATCACTCAGTACATAATTAAGAACAGATGAACATATGAATCACAAAAGACTAATCACAGAAATCCTCTACACAGTTAAGCTCCCCAAATGTTTTCCCCGCACATCTAATGTGAAGAAACTTATTCGTCCCCTCTAAACGCTCGAAAGATTTGAAGAAAGGTGTAAACACGTGCCCTTTGGGGAGGCTCTATTGGTTACCTGGGTTTAGAAAAATTTTATATATTTTTAATATTAATATTATATATTTTATAATACAACATAAAATACATTCTATTTACTTTTAAATATATTATAAAACTTTATAGTTTACAAATGTATATTGCCTCTTTTGCCTTGTGCTTGCAGATGCTTTTTGTAGTACTGTAGGGATTTATTTGTTTTCACGTTACATTTTTTCATTTTGTACAGTTTTTTTTTTTTTTTTTGATCTTCAAAGTTTTGTGGCTGTGGTGATATTGAAGAAAATTACTAGCATGATTCCAAGAATGATGATATATTGATGCTACCAGACCAGTTATCGAATTTAACAATTTGAAGTTGTTCATAGAGCAAATGGAATTACATAGTGCATAGAAAGCTGGGGGGAGGGGCAGGGTCACTGTTTTCATATTCACACACCATCAAGAGGATTTTTATACAAAATAGTGGCTTAGTCATCAATTTCCAGATTCCGCTGAGATCAATCGTGAGTTAAAACAGCAGGAAGGATTTGGGTTTGCTATAAAGGAAACATTTGCTGATAACATAGGTTATTCAGTGGTAGATCAGGTCTTTAAATATCAAATTAAATCTCATCAGACTTGGTGATCTGCGCTGACTTAGCTATATAACCCTGCGTGAGGACTGGGGTCTTGTCTACTAGACATATCAAGATCTTTCCCATGCTGAAGAGTCTGTTATTTTTCTGTTATTTAGGTATGCCTATTTTAAGAAAAGAAAAGAAAAAAGCATTATCTCAGAATTGATCACAGAATCATTTAAGCACAATGAGTTCTTTAAAAAGAGCATCTTACTAAAATGTTATCTATAATGGTTTTAAAAAATCCCTGGAGTGCAGAAAATGTTATTGGAACATCTATTAATGTTTACTCTTCAAGAGCATTTTTAACAAGGACTTCAAGATTGCAGGTGAGTTTCTGCAGTTAACATAAGAGATATTTTAAGCCACTAAAGTTCCTGTAGATTTGTCACTGTTTATTACTGTTGGGCAAAAAGAAACTCGATACCCTGTAAGCCACAAAGGAGAAGCAAGCAAAAATACAAACTCCTGTTGCTCCTGGCACTTTTCATCTCTAAATGGCTATTCCAAGAAAAAGAGAATAATCTGGATAGTTGCTTTTAGCATTTACAGCTCAACACAAAACTTTAGAATTGAGTAGTTTTCCAAATTGACTTACTTTTCTCAAAGTAGCCGTGGGTTAAGAATCATTAATCAACCACTTTTGCTCAGCACATAGCAAACAGGTTTTTTAATCCGATGTTTGAGAAGAAGATTATTTTCTTCAGTTGTGGTTTCTGTGGAATTTTAAGTGCAGTAAAAAATGAAGGAACATTTGTTTGAATGCATGGGGTATTATATACATATTTTTGCTATTCTTAGTTCTTTTCCCTTTAAAAAAAAACGGAGGGATTTTTGTGGGTGGAGTTGCTAGGAAAGGGAAAAGAAGGTCAGGAGGAAGTATTAAGGATAGACCTTGCAAAGCAAAGAACTTCTCCTATCAAAGCATCTCAAAGGGATTTATAAACAAAGGCTACTGATCATGCTTTGTGGGAAGTGAACTTGAATCGCAAGGAAGCCTGATTGACTTCCCCAAGGTCACTGGGCACAGCAGGAACTTTAGTTACACAAGGAACCGGAGTGGCCACAGTGGGCCATCTACTTGAACAAGTTTGCTATTCTCATAAAATTTCACTCACAATTCTCACAAATCAGCTAGCCTACTAATAACTAGGAAAAAAAACACTCTCATTTGCAAATAGTTGAAAGTGGAACAACTAATGTTACCTTTTGAAACCAAGATACTGAAACATGGAGAAGGTCATGTGGCTAAGAAGTGACAGTGTCAGAAAAAGAAAATCTGTTAAGATAGCCCCCACATCCCAAATATTAAACTCATCCTGGAGGCCTTCCTTGACAGGAAGGACAAACAATAATTTAAATGTATGTCTGTTTGGAGTTGCCACATAATTATGAGCAATACTGAAATTCTCAGGAAGAAACTCAAAATTGACATTTAAAATGCCAACAGAGGTAAGTTTTGTGTCATAAATGGGAAGAACACGGTGGGATCTTGCTACTCCTAATTAACAGCTATGAGCAAGGGATTGCGGAAAGAGAGAGAGAGAAAAAAAGAAGTGTACATGTTGAGAGATGTTGAAAATCAGAGCTTTAGGAAACCATGTATGAGAAATTGGGGCTGCTGTTAAGAGAATTTATCAAGAACTGTATGTCTAGATGTTGCCAGCTTGTTCAACAGCTGACAAAGTGCTCAAAAGAAGGGCTGGTGAGTATGGTGGTTCTAAGACAACTGTCTTCAGGTACGTAACAGGGAGTGGGGAGGGATGTGATCTTTGTGCAACATCCAGTGCTTTCTTGGGTGCTGCTAATATTACTGCAAAGATCATGCTCTGATACTCCCAGCCTAGTGTGAGCTGCTTGGAGTTGTCTGCTGCTGTTTTTGCAATACATCATTGGAGCAACTGGATTTGGAAGCCTCTTATCTGTTCCATGACCAAATGACCAAATCTGATTGGTCCCTCCTCCCACAGAAGAGTAAAGACTATCAGTGAGGTGAATTAATTGACAAAGTATCTATTGATAGCATTAATACCTCTTTTATATATTATTATTTTTTATAATATTTTTATATATTATTATTATATATATAATATTATATATTATTATTATATATATAATATTATAATGGCTGTCTAATTGAGACTCTTTAAATGAGAGCAGGCTAAACATGGGTGTTTTTGTTTTTTTTTTTTAAGGAGAAGGGTACCCCCTGCAAAGCAGTTCAATGAAGTTTGCCTGAAAATCATTGCACTATAGCAATGCTATCTGGGACACATTGAATAAAAAATTGTGAGATTCAAGAGCAAGATTCTAGATGAAAATTTAAATAATGTGGAGGGTGTGTGTAAAGGGTAAGAAAGAGAAATTAATTTAATTCCATTTGCTGATGTGGCTGTAGCACAACTATTTTTAGGTATAATCCAAACAGTGCATATCTTCTCCATTTTGATTAGTAGAAAATTGGCAGGGAGTCAAAAGAATTAGTATTTCTCAGCACATTATGCCAGAAATGTACAAATAAAACGACATTATCTGTGCCAATGCATTTAATTTGAATCACTGCTAAGGTTTTTATTTTTTTGCCTTAAAAAAACGAATGGACTATCTTTGTTAGAAACATTTAAAAAAAAAAAAAAGTCTTTCACAACTGGCAGCAAAATATATAGGAATAATTTTCCTTTAGACTCTTGCTTAGAAGCTCTTGCTAAAAAGTTAAATGTTAATATTACCCCGACACTTTGGGTGCAGAATTTCCGCCTGGCAATTTTACATATTGCCAGAGGAAGTCAGCACATTCAACAAAATGTGAAATTAAAATAAGCTAGGAAAACGTGCTTCACAAGGAAAGGTTTCACAATAGCCACTTAGAAGTTATTAATAATTCCAGTTCCAAAGAAAGTACAGATCAAAAAAAAATAAACTCTATTTGCAATGTTTTATATAGGCAAGTTCATCAAGGGACCAAGCTATCTGATATACCAATTATATATTTGCACAATGGAGGGAGAACATATATATATCCTGGAAAATCTTGATTGTTACATGTTAGAGAACTTTACAGTGTTAAACCTAAACATAATTTCCAATGTAGCAAATCAATGAATCTTGATTGCATTTTAGTTCCCTGCTGTGATTTTAAGATTTACCCTTTGGTTCTCTGTGGTACATAAGCCCATGGGTAAGGCTGATTTTCTGCACATTCACCCCCTTTCTCTTGCTACTTCTGCAGTGCACTATCTCAGCAGATTAAACAGGATTGGCAGCTTGCTCCTCACATTGTCATAGCTATTGGGATTTGCAGTCCTATTATAAATCAATGGCTGTCTTCTTCAAAAACAACAAAAAGTGGTTTTCATGGCTATTTGGAATCACTGACATGGTCTGCATCTGAACCCTTGTAATCCTCAGTTGGAACACTCAGACCACACAAAAATCTTTTTCTACTTCCTACCAATATATATAAACTGGTCCCAAGATTATAGTGTGTTTCTCTAGTTCACTAAAGATACTAACCCTGTCTACTAAGTAGTTAAATTATACATATTTGTTCATAAAGCTTAAAGGACCTTCAGGATTTTAAGACCTGAGGTTTGATGGGCCTGTATGTATGTTTTGAGCTGGGACGATTTCTTTATATTTAAGTGTAGAGACTTATCTAGACAAAACAAGTAAATAATCAGGACAACATGGAAGCGAAGCATTAACCTAGTACTTCAGTGTTCTTTGAATGAAACCAAAACCATTAAGTCTATTAATTTAAAATAAGGAAGCACAAAACCTCTAACAAAAATGCATCTTTCATACTCATGGGTGGGTGAGTAGAATAGAGAACTATATTTGGTTCCTAGGGAAATTACAGTGACATTTCATCCTGACACTGATTTTACCTTCTCCATAATAAACTTCTTTAAGTATTTATCTTTGTATTCTTAATGAAGCTTTGCCACCTTTATCCCTTCTCCCCTTTTTCCTTTTTTTTTTTTTCTGGCTGGAAAGGGGCTCAACTTCATACCAGCTTTTGTTGAAACTGCTACTGTTCATGCAACCTTCTGCTGGTCTCTGAAACATCTACGTCAACCTTTCTTGGAAGATTGTCTGCTGGTCTTTAGAATATCCCATTGCAAAAGAAAAAATCAGTCCTGACTTCCCCTAGTAGAAAATAACCTCTTCATGTTAAAACACAGTGTGAACCACAACTTTACACTCTCCACTTTGGTTTCTTTACCATTCAGTCATGAAATGAAAAGTTTATTTAAAAATATAATGATCAGTACTTAAACTTATTTTGCAGAATGTACAATTCATCTCAGGATGGAATTTCACTATTATTTCCTTAGGAACTCATTTTATGAAAAATACCCTATCCATTGGGTATTGTAATTTTGTTAGAAAGTTAAATGATTTCACACTTGCTTTTTTACCTGTGACCTGTCCACCCAGAACCTCAGCTGATCTGTTTAATTACACAAGAGAAAAAAAGACTTCTTTCAGAAGCCCTTTTATACATTTTTGCTTAACCATGAAAACATTTTTGATTCTAAACAGCTACTACAGAAATCTGCACACACTGATCATCCGTAGGCTGTGATTCTCTATCAGAACACGAAAATAAGCTGTGGAAGCCACTTACCGCATTCCAAGTAGGCAACTGATTATTCAATGAGTTAGTCTTCTTTCCTGTGTTTCTCTGAAAAGTTGCAGCTGAGTTACATGGCCTGATCCCCCTTTTTTTTTTCTTTTTAGAAGATATACAATCCCAAATGTCACTTCTTAAGTCAAGTGCAGCAGATGGGATCTTGAAAGTGTCTACAAGTAGTCTAGGATACCTTGAATCCGGCTGTGAAAATTGAGGGCAAATCTGTAGCTCTCGGTAGGTGAACGCCTTATTTGGTTAGAGGCATTTTGCTATGTTACTGAGTCATGAAAAGCTATTAAAAGAGCTCTATGGGAAATCCAGCCTATATTTTGAACAAAACTGTTTTTTTCATTATCACTGACCCCTTACAGACACACGGTACATAATCTTGATTGTGCTTCATTGGTATTTATTGCACATGGACCAATTCTTCACACAGTAGTTAGTTGCACCAGAGTATAAATACTTGGTAAAACACACAAGAGGAGATAGAATGTACACACAAGTGCTAATTTTTATCAGATTCACGTGGGCACTTGGACATAAAAAAATAATAAAAAATCCTTAAGATAATTATATTTATAATATGGATACAGTTACAGTACCATGATAAAAGAGTATAAAAAGGTATTTTCCCAATAAATCATTAGCTCAGTAACATAATAGACAACAGGAATAGAATTTGAGTTTTATTTTAGTTTTTAAGATCTGTCCACCCCCTACTCCCCCTTTAAAAAATATTGTATTTCTTTTTGTGCAAGTAACATCTTCTATGGACTTTACAATTCCTAACACTGTGCAAAAATGGCATTTTGAACCACTCCTTGTTTGTTTTGTTTTTTGTTTCTACCCACATGTGCAGTAATCTGAACTGTTTCCTCTTTTTTTTCAATGTCCTGTCTTCAATTGACAGAGTCACATGTCACAGAGAGAGGCTCAGCGCCTGGTCCTTCCAACGAATATTGATACATAAATAGCTGTTTAATATAAACAAGTCTTTCTGTCTTGCTGTGCAATGTGCACAGTGTGAGGTAGAAACCCCTCAGCCTGACCACCGAGGCGCGGGGCGGGGCGGGGTGGGGGGCAGCCGGTTCGCCCTACAAAAGGAGAGCAAGGTGGGGTTTGTTCCAAGAAAAGAAAGTTTCTTGAAACGTGATTTTTCTTTTTTACTTCCATCCTTTCCCTTTGCTTTCAGAACAGGCAAAATCACTACTCAGAAATTAAAATGAAATTTCTCTGGAAAGCAAAAGGAAATATGTCCCGACGAACTGTCATTCCTCCCCCCCCCCCCCCCCTCTGGCAGACTGCTGCTGTTCCCGGGGAAAGAGATGGAAGCCAAGTTCATGGTCTTTTATCTCCTGATGTTTCTCCCTTCCCCTGCCCCCCCGCCCCCCATTTCCACTCCGGTCCTCGCAAAAAGTGTCAAAAAACACCTGGGGGGAAAAATCTAAAGATGCATCACACACGCACACACAAAAAAAGGCCGAACCACAAACAGAAAAGAACCCAAGAGAAGTCAGCAATCCCACCCCTCCCCAAACTTTCCTTTTTGTGCAACGGTCCGGAGCTTTTCTGTTTGCCTTGGATGATTCAGACGAGGTTTGTGGGCTTCGTGTTCACCTGCTTTTTGCTTTTGGTCTTGAGTAAACACAGATCTCTTTCCTCTGGGAAGCCGTTCAAGGGCGCCGGGGCTATCCTCTCCCGGGGCGCAGAGCCCGCGTCCGCGCTGGGGCGGTGGGACCCGCGCCCGGCGTGCGCGCCCCGCGCCGGGCCCTACACCTTGGATTCCGAGGCGAAGTCCGGGCGGCCCGGCTCGTCCAGGCTCGAGTCGCTGTCCGCCACGGCCCCGCCGTTGCAGCCGGCCCAGGGCTCCAGCAGGCGCGCGGGCGGCGTGGCCCCGACGTCGTCGTCGTCGTCTTCGTCCGAGGCAGCCCCGGGCGACGGCGGCGGCCCGGCCCCGGCCAGGCAGCCCGAGGCGCGCGGCCGGTCGCCGTGGGCTGCGCGTCGCCTGCGGGCGGCCCGGCGCGCCCAGCAGAGCAGGCGCTGGAAGGCCTTGCGGAAGTCGGGGCTGCGGCAGTAGATGATGGGGTTGAAGGCCGAGTTGGCGTAGCCCAGCCAGTTGAAGAAGACGAAGAGGCGGTCGGGCACCAGGTCGCGGTGGAAGGCCTTCACCACGTTGGCCAGGAAGAAGGGCAGCCAGCAGAGCGTGAACACGCCCATGATGATGCCCAGGGTCTTGAGCGCCTTCTGCTCGCGCAGGGCGACGAGGCGCGAGGGCCGCCGCTTGCTGGTGCGCCCGTTGGCCACCGGGGCGGCGGCGGGGCGCGGGGAGCCGGGCGCGGGCGCGGGCGAGGGCGGCCGCGCAGGGCCACCGAGGAAGCGGCGCTCGCAGCTGTCGATCTTCTTCACCTGCTTCTGGGCCTCGCGGAACACCCGCAGGTACACGAAGGCCATGATGCACAGGGGCACGTAGAAGGAGACGACGGACGAAGCGATGGCGTAGGCCCGGTTGGTGACGAAATCGCAGCACTTGGGGTCGTTGTAGCAGCGGCGCGCCTCGTCGCTCTCGGCCCGCCACCAGTGCATGAGGATGGGCAGGAAGGACACCAGGGCTGAGATGGCCCACACGGTGCACACGAGGGCCCGCGCCCGCGCGCGGGTCAGCAGGCTCTGGTAGCGGAAGGGCGACGTGATGGCGAGGTAGCGGTCCAGGGCGATGACACACAAGGTCTCGATGCTTGCCGTCACGCACAGCACGTCCACTGAGGTCCAGAGCTCGCAGAAGAAGGAGCCGTACTCCCAGCGGCCCCACACCACGATGGTGGCCCCGAACGGCACCACCAGCAGCCCCATGACCAGGTCGGCGCTGGCCAGGGACATGATGAAGAGGTTGGTGAGCGTCTGCAGCCGCGGCGTCTTGGCGATGGCCACGATCACCAGCACGTTGCCCGCCACGGTGAGCAGCACGATGAGCGCCATCAGCAGGCCCATGCCCGCCGTCCACTGCGGCGACAGCGGCGCGGGGCCGTCGCTGGTCGGAGGCAGCAGAGAGGCGGGCGGCGACGCGGGCACCAGCAGTCGCGCCGCCGTGGCCGCGCCGTCGGGGAGCGGCGCGGCGGAGGACAGGTTGCAGGGCTCGGAGGCGCCCAGGACGAGCGCCCCCGCGCCCATGCCGAGCTGTGGAGGCCGGGGGCGGGGTGTGTGGCGGGGCTGGGCCGTGGTTGGGGAACACCCCAGAAGCCGGGGCGGAGGGGTGCGCGGAGGGAGGTCGCGGCCGGGTCAGGGCAGCCGCGGCGCGGGGCCCGAGGCATCGGCGCCGGGCGCCTTTCCCGCCGGAGCCGAGCGCTGTCGCCGCCGCCGCTGCCGCCGCCGCTGCTGCTGGAGCCGCTGCCGCTGCTGGGAAAGCCGCCGGGACCTCAGCATGTTTCTGAGCGCGCCGGACCCGCAGCTCCGGCACCCAGCACCCACCCCACCCGCTCCCTCTCCCCCAAGCCAACCCCCGGGGCCTCGCGTCAGGCTCCTGCAGCCAATGGGGCACCGGCACGCCCCCGTCTGGTCTGTCCCCCAAGTCCCCGCACCCCTCCCTCCCGCAATTGAGCCGCTCGGGAGAGTCGGAGCAGATCGCGGAGCCGGCGCGTCCCGGGCGCCCGCTGGTTCCGGCGAACGCGCCCCTTCCTGCGCCCGCTTGTTCCACGACCGATTCCCCTGCGCCCTCTGCCGCTGCCGGCTCGCGCGGCGTCCCCAACCCCTCCCGCCGCCCCCTCGCTCCGGCATTCCGTTCCCTCCGGCGCCCCTGTGCCCTCCGCGCTCGCTCCCTCCTGCGCCCCGCATCCCCTCTACCTCCAAAGCCGGGGCTCCCTGCAGAACAGAGCGCCTGCCCCCGTTAGCGCCCGGGGGACCTCGGTGTTCTTGAAGCGCCCCGGCGCCTTGGACAGCCTGTCCGCGGGGGGTGCAGCAGTTTGACCCCGAGATTGGTTGTGAGATCGGGCAGCCTAGCAGGGTGTGTATAAAATCCTTCCTGCGTCAAGAGGGGACCCAGCCGGGCCGCGTGCTGGCAGCTTGGGAGATCAGAGGTGGGTGTCAGTGGTGGGAGGAAACTTGCCAGCAGAGCGAGTGGCTGGAGCCAGCCGCGCATCTGTCGGGATGTGCTCTGGGCGCTATTGCGCGGAGCTGCTGCGGGACCGCGAGCGCAGTGCATGTGGAAGCGAGGGAAGGTTTGTGCACCTGACAGCGAGCGCTGAGGACCGGTTGGGAAAGCACACACTCCTCAGTCCTAGCTAATGCATGTGCGAGTAGGATGCGACAGCGTGTGTTCATAGTATCAAGGGAGACGCTTAGGCAAACACACACCTTGAGGTACAGAGTAAATGACACCACCGCGAAGAAAGAACACATTTAATCACACTTTAGACTTTTCCCATTCAGAAATAACACCTGTATTTTGTGTTTTGTTACTGATGATTTTATAATTTGAGCTGGGTCAATGCAAACCAAAAGGTACTGGCCCTTTTGGCTGACGTAGTGAACTAAGGTTTCAGATTTCTTGGTCTGTGTGGTGCTTTTCTCCTTTGCCCAAATCCGCAGATTCTCAAAACTCTGGGATTAGCTTTGGAGGGATGAGAGAAGAAAATATATATAAATACTCAAGAGGATTCAAATCCGAAAACATTTAAAGTGATAACCGAAGTTTTTGAGTTGACAAATGAATAGGTTTGAAATTAGTGAGTTGTTAACCCAGCTGTAGGTGAATTATATAATCGGGTTGTGGACAGGAAAGCCATAAATACACAATGTAGCAGGACTCAAAGCTCCTTCTCTAATTTGGCCCTGGTAATGTCCTCAGCTCAGGCCTGAAAAAAAAAAAAATCTTTAATTGAATTCTTGAGAAGTAAACAGCTCCTAATTGTTTACATAAGGGTGCATAAAAATGTTATGTAAGGCTCATGGGTCTTTCTAGCATTGGAATAAATAGAGTGTGGAAGGGACATCAACATGTGGACCAATCTCATGCTCTTACCTTGCAGAGAGACTGACTCCCACAGCTGTCCAGTTGAAGAGCAAAAAGTAATGTTTATTAACTTTATAAAGTCAGGCAGTTTTACCACCTTCCCTTAAGTAAATCCAAACATATGAATTTGCTTTAGGCCCAAACTTGATCATTAGAATGTTACAGCTGGGGAGTGATTTTTCTATTCACCTCCTGCCCTGGATTTATCAGCCTAGTTTTGCCAATTTGCGGGTGTCGAGGGAGCTAGGAGACGAAAGGAGTTAGGAAAAGGAGAGGAAGGAGACTGTACCCCTAGTTACCCAAGTCACTGCAAGCCTGAGTCTCCCCTTCCGGTTCACAGCCCCCCCCCCCACCACACACACACACACACACACACACACACACACACACACACACACAAGGGGCAGTCTCAAAATAGCCAACGGATTGGAAAGAGTTGAGATTGACACTGCCCAGGCAAAAGGCTGGGAGTGCTGGGCTGCAGGGTGGGGCGTAGGGAATGTGGGGAAGAGGCCTTCTGTCCGGCGCCATCCTTCTGTCAAGTGGTGTTACTGGAATGGAGTGTGCCAACTTTAAGTGTCCCTGAAGGGCAAAGGCACTGCATTTCTGCGAGCGATAAGGCCAGAACTTGATTGTAGAGGTTCAGCACAGAAGCCGGATGCCAATAACTTTACAGTATCATTAAATGGATAAACACACCAAGCAGTGAGGCCGTGACATTTGAATTGTTGGAAAACTCTCCTGAAACATTGTTTTCCTGCTCATTTCCATCAAGGGTCTCTCAATTTCTGTATAATAAATACATTAAATTATAAACATCCCAAACCAGAAAGTTATTCTAATAGGACCTCCAACATAGGGCTACAGGCGTAATGGGAGCCCAGGAATTTTTGAGGCTTTCCTTCAGTTTTACTGATAGAAAAGGCTAGAATAACCCATGTTCATCCAGAGTTAGCTTTCTGGTAAAAATTAAAATACTCTGAGATCTCCTTTAAATCCTACATCTTATGGTGCTTCTTTTTTTTTTTTTTATTTTTACATTTTTTTAGACTAATACTTTTTGTACTTAGCTAAGGATATAATATTAAGAAAAGCTTCCACATGTCAACTTATACAGATTTCCTCATTCCTCGCTTGCAGCTGTTAGAGTGAATCCATTCTTAGGAACCCACATATCCAAGGACAAACCCTAATCAGTGTACTTGACAGGTAGTGTGCTCCTTCCGCCCATTTCCTGTCCCCACCTCTTCCTTTCCCATCTGCACTTGGACTTGCCACAGGTCGTGTCTGATCTCTTGGCCTCTAGTCCTGCCTGCTCCATTTACTGTGGCACACCATGGCCAAGTTAATATTTCTAAAATGCTGCCTTGACCAAAGATGCTTTTCTGTTCAGAAACCTTAACTTCTCAACTTGACATTCTAAGCCCTCCTCGTTGCAGTTGCAAATGGGCTTTCCCAGCACTGTCTCACACTAGAATTCTCCTTGTCTCCATGTCACCGTATCTTGACGTTCTATATTCTTTTTCCTTTTTTGGATCTATATACTCTTCTCTTTTTTGCATCTGTACTCTTTCTCACTGGGTTCTCTTCATCAAGAATCCCTTCCTCCTTCTCTGTCTCAGCGGATTCAGCCTTCAAGATCTGGCTGGAATCTTCTTTCTCTTACAGTCCTCTCTGCCTGCTGCTTCTAGAAATGATCCCTTCTTCCTCAGACCTGTAGCAGTTACTCTGCGAATCGCATTTCAGGTGGCAGTTAACAACATATTACCTTTTGACATCTCTTATATTGTTATTTAATTTTTATATTTTTCTACTCTCTTGTAGATTGTAAACTCAATGAGAGCCAGGACTGTCTCATACATTTTTATGTATTCCATGTTTATTGATATTTACTTGATATTAACATTTAGTTTTGATTCATAAATATATGTTATTTAATTTATTAAAATACTTTCATTTTTACACATATGAGAAATAATCAAATATTTTAGGAATTATAATCTTCACTCTAGCATATAATTTACAGTAATAATTCATTACAGCCTAGTGAATATTTTCATATAAGCATTTCGAGATACTTTAAAAATACAAGCTAATCTCATAAGATAAATAAGTTTATATCATATTTATTAAGTAGTAAATAAAGTGGGACATAGGTAAGAGATTTTCCAAAGGGGCAAGTCTACGTCAATAAAAACCACTACCTGTTCTTTACAGATGATCCAGGTAAATGACCTTTTTGCTTGGCCTTCATTTATGGTACTATATATCTAGCTATTTCTGGCCTGGGACAATTACTGATGACTTAAATCTGGTTTCAAGTTCTAGATCAAATTAAAGTTTGGCAGAGCAGTGATTAATAGGCTTCTAACCCATCCATGGTTGTAAGCCATGAGCCTGGCAAAGATGTTTCCAATTCTTGAGTTGACTTTGCTAGAAAATGAATTAAAAATGAAAGTGAGTAGCCTATCTGGACAATTGCTGGAAGGCAGGCCAAAGGAAGTCTGGGGGAAATTTCCAAGTAAAACCCCAGCCAGTGTATGAAATCTGTTAGTTAGCAAAATTTGCCTTGAGGCTGATAATAGCCCCAAAGCCATTTGAAATCAGGTTATAACAAACCAAAGGATTTGTTAATCAGAACTCCAGTGGCTGTTTCTGAGGAAATAAATACAACTTTTCACATAAAGCCACACAACTGCTAAAATAATCAGTTAGTGCTAACTAACCAAAGAATAGCCTGCGCCTGGGGTGGCACTTAAGGTCATACGCTGGTTTTGTAGCCACAATTTAAGGGACAAGCAACTCCAGCCATTTCTATAACAACAAGCACAGAGGACAGTGGTATAATCATAGCAAAGTGTGGACTATTTGGAAAATTCAAAAGCTTTCCTCCCCACCCCCTTTCCTCCTCCTCCACCTCCTCTTCCTTGTGTGTCTAACAAGTACATTGAATAATGCTAGAGCCAATAATAATATTTTTCAAAATTGGGATGTTTTGCAAAGTGTTCAGACCTGGGAGGCAGAAGATCCACGTTTGTGCCCTGGCTTTGTTACTTTTCTGTTTGACCTTCAGTACTGGCTTCACCTTGACAATAGACTCACCACTACCTGCTTCCTCACCGGGTTGTGTGTGAATTAAATGAGATAACGTATGTGAGCACCTCTTGAAATCTCCTGTAGGACCATATATTTGTAAAGCATCAAATGCTGTCTTGTCCAATCATCATGACATTTTAAACCATGAAAGGTGTCAGGATTTGCTGGTAGGAGAAGAGTCAGTTCACTTAGATAAGCTTCCCTGTTTGACTCTATCCTTTCTCACACTAGATATAAATGTGACTCAGAGGCTAGATAACAGTGAACTATTTTTAAATGTTTTTATCATTAGCAAATCATCTTTTTTAAAAGGGTTTCCCCCCTCTTTTGTGTGTCCTCCTTTTGTATTTCCTCTATTATTTTTTTAAAAGTATTTGTTTATGTGATTCTCTGAAATAAATACCTTTTACAGTATTTCCATAGTGAAATATTTACAGCAGAGACAGGATATTTTTTCCTCTGCTCAACTTAGTGCCTTGACTAGTAAGTTAAAGGAAAAAAAAGGCAACACAATACAAAACTTACACCAACTTTCAAAGATTCTGTTCTTATTCATTTGTGTAATGAATACAAATTGATCATCCACGGAGCTCTTACCTTAAAGTATTAGTGGCAATATTAGGAATGTTATCATTGCACAAGCATTTGGCTGGGAGATGTTCTTCATTTTCCCCAAGTCCAGAGCTTGTGATGACAACAAGATGTGCTAATTAGTGAAAACTCTAGGTTTTATTTTAACAGTAACACAGGCTTTTACTGTGTTCCAGATAAAACAATTACGTTGTCAAAGGCTGATGAGTTTATAGTAAAAAGAATCCCCAAACCCTTATTGTAAGTTTCTGAAAGGTAGGAACGATATCTTTAAACATTTTAGCTCCCATTTATTCTGACCAGGTCTTAGGTACAGTACTTAATAAATTCCTGTGGAATAGAGGAACCACTTAAAAGCTTATGTCCAATAGATTCTCT